ATTGAATGGCCAAGTAAAATTACTTAATAATAGCACTACAAAAACAATTTGATTGGATTAGCGAGAATTATACTGAAAACAAAATAACAAAGCGAACAGACAGTTTGTAAGACCTACTATATATGATGTAGTCGGCCACGGCGAAGAAGGTTACATCACCAATTATTTTTTGAACACACATATTTGGCTTGTTCATATGGATTCTGACTGCATTTACTGTTAGTAAATTTTATACTCACAGATCATGTTAGACGTTGAGTTAAGTACGATAAATGAGTTCAAAAGCTTTGTTAGTGTCAGGATGATGTCAAGTATCCAGCGTGACTGGCTAGTTCTGAGTTAGATATAGATTTATTCGGACCTTTCGCTACTCTAAAATGGTAGTTGTTCAGAAACTCGACAATGAAAGTGAATGATCGTGCTTCCAATATAACTACTACATCCCTTCATATACTTAAAAGGGGTTATTATCACTGAAAAATTTAGTCTCACATACGGTATAGTTTTGATTTAAAAACTATTTATAAGTATATATAGCTGATGATGGGAACTAACAGAAAACACATATTTATTCGCTAAATTCGTGTAAGTGGTAATTTTCAAATTATTTCATATATTTCTGCACCATTTGTTTAGTAACTGATTTATATAGTGACTTGTTAACAAGACAGAATGTTATCAGTTTTATTTCAGATGAATTAAACTTCAATGTTTTATCCTGTTTGTTCTTTCTTCAGATCACAGTGATTTTCGCGAACCTGATCAAATCAGTGTGATATCATGTATCTATGTGACAAAGTGTCTTGCAGTTCTGTGAGCCTGATACATGATTTCTGATAACTCGTACAACATTTTGTGTACATGTGAATAAATGAACGTTCACACTTCAAATATTCAATAAACAAAACTTTTTATGCAATCGACTCCACACTTATATCTGCGTAGAAGATTGAATATTTTTGGAATTGTCAGTTGTATGATGCCAGCTGCTTCACAGATCCTCATGATTCGGATATACAAGCTCACATAGTCTAGAGACTTCGACTTTTTATGTTCGCTGATATGCGCTTGTTTCGGTATTAATCAGTACAGCGTGAGTGCATGTGATCCTATAGCCTGTAGTGTGATAGAAACATCTGCTTCTTTTTGTTAGTCTTGGAAACTTAGAGTTTGTGCAACATTGACCCTGAAACATTCATTGAATTCAGATGTAATAGAATGTTCTTCTAGGTCCAGTGTTTTCCTGTCTCCACTCACTCCACACTTTGCAGTTAATTCAGTCCTCTACAATTAGGGATATTCTCGAAGATGCTAGATAGCCTTCGCTGACTTCTGTCTTCACTTCAAAGAATTCCCTAAGTTTTCCGTTGTGAATCACCTGACAGTTTCCATTTTTGTATGATTGTTGAATGAGGTTTTTAAGGATTTGAGACACTGCACAGTCTTGAAGTAGTTTTCAAATTAGAACAAGACTTATAAGCTAACAATATTGTTGCTTTCAAATAGATCTTCATGCCTTACTCTAATTTACATAGATTTATATATAGCAATTTTAGTCAATGACGGTGATTTTATGGATCAAATAATAACTATTCTGTGTAGAGTGTTTTGAACGTCATCAATAGCGATGGTTAAAATGATATTGATAATAAGGTTTATGCAGGTTACGATAAGAATAACGAAGGTAGTAATATGTGTGTATGTAGAAAATTCAAAAAATAAATTCGGTCAAATCTTAAAAGTTACGTGATACCAAAGGTGAATTGGACAGATAATCAGAGTTTGAATTAATGTCATAAAGTACGAAGGAATGGAAAAATAAGAAAGTGTGCAAGGGTTTTGATGAGAATTCACCTTTTTCTTACTCTTGACCTAGGTGAATTCTAATCAAAACCCTCCTTCCCTTTCTTATTTTCCCTTTATTTAATGAGTTTCCGAATTAAATGGCGGTCAACATAGTACTCCTACAGAATAAGGTTGATAATGTTTAGCGTACTGCACAGAGTAGTGGTGAAACGTAACACCTCCTGGTTCACGTTGTCGAAATTGTCTTTAAAGTGTAAGAAGTTGAGGTTGACAGTTTACGGGCATCCTATGCTCTGCTCGATAATGATGCATAGCTATTGAGTCCTCTTATAGTTTAATTGTCGCAAATACCGCTTGATCGTCTCATTTCTGCATCCGGTGCATCTTTCATTCTCTTCAGGATGACGCAACTTCGAATTCCGATTGTCGTGAACAGCATAACGATTCTGCACCAGCTTATTCAGAGTCCTAAGTCGCCCTTCTATGGTTGTTTACACAAAATCTTCATTTTCACAGATCCATTGTGCCTGTATATTTGAAACGCCAAAATATGATTGAAATGGTAAGAAACACGATACCTACACACAATCACATTAAAACCAAGAATTTAGCGAAAAAAATTCTCATTTGGACGATTTCATTTTCATAGCTGTACAGTCGTATATATATGAATTACAACAGACGATAACAATCAGTTTTCTTGTGTGTGTTTCAATGCCTGACAGTGAATAACTAAAGAACTATAGGTCAATCTAAAATTCAGTAGCGCGTGAGAAATAGATGGTCGGCAATTAAAGTACATTCTGAAATGTGAACACATGACTATAATATGATGGAGACATAGGTTGAGCGAAATGTTGTCAAGGTGGTACACCACATAAAATGTTAGAAGCTGATAACCTAAAGTAAAACGAAATAAAACAAAAATGGAACACAAAATAAAGGCAGATGACAAAATTGCTATGTGAATTACATAGTAAAATCAAGACAGTGATAACTAAAGAGATCGTATCTTGAATACTGCTGTGTGTTTGGTAAGTTGACACGTGTTGCCTCCTCTAAATTGCTGAAATTCATATCAGAATTGCAATCGTTCATGTTAATTTTGTTATCATATTTTATTTATTTACATGATTTATTTAGTTCAACATTGTAAACCGAAGGTTGTTATTGCTGGAATTATGTACGTTTATGTTATCATCCTACTGTTTTTTATTCGTCAGATCCCAGTGCTTCTCGTTGACTGGTTGAAATGATTTTCACACGGTATGTAAGTGTCTTGAGATTTTGCATGTGTATTTGGAGATTTCTTGTAACGCGTACATTATTTCTCACATGTGAACGGTAAAATATGTGAAGATTTACATTTCAAACTTATCACTTCTTTTATCACAGATAGCTGCACATTTTGAATTTCGTTATTATTAACAATGATATTATTATAATTGTGAATAATTTCAGTAATTCTATGCACAGTGGTCAAATCCTATTGACACATCACAATGATGCGTTTATAATTAATATTTATTTGTAAGGCTCTGTTCGCTTACATGTGTTGCTCTGACTTTCACGATATAAACATTTCTTATTATGAGATATCTAATCAAAAATATTTATTCAGTGAATCCGGCCATTTTATTAACACTTTACACCTTCTACATAAGTTGCACAGTATTTCTGTAAGTACAGAATTCGAAACGTTGATTAAATGTAATTCATTATTAGGTCAGTGCATTTTATTTAACACACACTGATGTTATATTAATTAGCAATTAATTAACATAATGAAGTTTCGAGGACAATTTATTGATACTAATCACATTATTACCACACCCTTGCTCTCAGAGGAACGCTGTTGAGAAAAGAGAAAAAGAAAACATCTGTTGACTCCATAATTGTGCCACTTTCTTTTATCTCATTTATTCAATTCACATATTTCCCATTACCTTCCTAGCAGTTTTCGAATTACCTCTCAGTTATGGATCTCTATGGTGACGTAACCAAATAGATGAATGGTTGTATCAGAATCTCTCATTTAAGAAGTTTAGACTGTACTTGAAATTTTGAGAAGTTTCAATTCCTTTTGATATCTGAAGGCCTACTGCTTTTCTTTGTGTAAATTTTTATCCTTCTCCCCGAATGGATTCCTGTGAACTTGTCATCACTGACATTTGTAAAGCCTAAATTTTTTCAACTAATTAAACATAGTACTTATATTTGAACATACAGTAAAGTGCACGCCAATTAACGTCAATTTACTATTCATTGGTGAATTATGCATGTATTAAGATCAAAACATTCCGGAATAGCTGAGATTATTATCATTATAGATTTTTTGTGTAATTTACCTTTGGAGTATCTTAGGCTAAAACCCTCGGAATCGACTTCTAGTATTTATGACTGTGCCATTTAAATTCTTTTATTCTTATGTCTTATTAAAATGAATCGTTTTTAAAAGCTTGAAGTATTCACCTGAACAAAGTACACCACACGTTTCAAATTACATATCAAGATTAACTGTCTACAATTCACTATAAAAAGAACTGAATCTCATGACTGAGTTAATTTTGACTACATAGTTGGTGATATGTAAGTTTTCTCAGTATTTTCATTGAACATATTCACTAAATATTGACGACACGATTTGCAGTGAACTGATAACACTCATAAGATTATCTAAGAACGACTAATTAAACACATAGTCTGGATTATGTAGACACACAGTTCTATTTTATGCACCGTAGAATTTTCTTGAATTTCTTGAATCAGCCAGTTGTGAAACTTTCTTCCATACATTTTCCATACTCTGATCTGAAGTGGCACTAAGATGAACGTATCACCAAGAGTATATTGAATTAATCCAAAGGTTGCAGTCCTGATCTTGGTCAAATAATAGTCATTTACTTTATGTGTATCAAATTCTTTGATCTAAATGTGATTGCGTTTGCTGGGCATGGCTAGATAATTGAGGACAATTGAGATGAAGCCTAGCCACTGGAATGTATTCACTTCAGTTTCCGTCCTGGTGATATAACTGCAGGTAAGTTCTACGTAGAAGAGAGGTAAAATAGTCCACTGAATATACCTCAATGTAAGCATCGTAGTTAATTTGCGAAAGTTTTCAAGTGAACGACATTACAGCAAGGTTTAACTTCAGGACGTTGTCAATGCAAAAACTTTGATATTGAGGAAACTATCACATTAACCACATTTTACACTTCAGCATCCACTGCAGGAAACGCCTTCTGTGATTTTATTCAGACAGAATACGCAAAGCAAGGAAAGCACTTTACACATGGAAATAATGATTCAGACGATTTTCACGGGATTGAATTTGAAGCCAAGAGAAGACACATTCAAAGAATACATCACATTGGTAAGGACAATCTGGCTATTTATCTACACAAAAATCTACAATTAGGTTGGAATTGATGTGACATACCTGTTAGTGATCATGTTGGCAGTCATGATTATCATAGGCAGCATGTAAGATTGAAATTAATCATCCAATCTTATTCTCACATAGACAGGCTCTTCAAACATTTTTCTATAACAATATCACAGTCACATTGGGAATTGTGTAAGTCAATTGTCTCAGTTTGTCATTGTCTCTCCTTATGGATATCGAGGTTGGTGATTATTCTTCTGTTTGATAAATTCTGATGGTTTTACATTGAAAGTGTATGCATCATAGCCACAATATTTTTTTTTCATTTAGCGTACTTGCTGCCGCTCTGCTTGTCTTCACGTTTGCGGTCAAGAAAATTCAGGAAAACTTTTGGTATTCTCATATTGCTTATGGACTAATCGTAAGTATTCTGTTTGGTTGTAGTATGCTGACACGATTATTACTTAGAATTATTGCGTGTGTTACACCACGAAATTTGTGTGAGGTTGCTCAGATAGACTCAGGTAAAGAATAGCTCTAGGTACATGTATGGTTTGTAGTTATGACAATGATATAATACAATATGTAACTGTGAATGAAATGATTAAGCAAAACAATGTGATTAATAGTCATCCTCATATGACGACTTTATTTAGAAGTTGCTTTCACATCATCAAGGTAGTTATCAAGAAACATATGCCTCAACTAACTGTCTCCTATCTTTAAAAAGTTGAGATGTGTATGTGAAACATGTAGCTTTATCTGAAATCTGTAGATAAGCGACGAATATTGCGTCAGTTGGGAGCTTTGCTGAAATAAGAAATTATAAAAGAATGCTCTGAAAATGACTGACAATAGTACAATACATTTCACAGGTCATTATTTTATCTTCAATAATGTTTCACCAATGTAAAGAAATCAGTAGCTGTAGACAGTCACCCATGTCAAAATAATTTTTCTTGAATTCAGACTGATTCAGACTGATCCTAGAAAGCATTTTAGCGATATTATTTAACAAGTTTTCTTTTACTTTATCCTCTGAGCAAGAGAAACTATTAGAAGAATCTTAACATTGTCAGCTGTCTACAGGTTAATGTCTCTAGATGAGATAGCAAACAAACATCAATTAATGGATCTATAAAAGCTAAGAAGAACTTGATAGCGTAATTTGATACTCTGCAATAATGCGCACTGTGAACCTTCAATAAATCAGACAAGCACGTTTACCACTGCTTCATGTAAAGGCAATAAAACAACCTAACAAGCTTAAACACTGTCATTTTTATCAGCATACATAGTGTGATTACTAACAAATCACATGGAGACTCCATCATCCAGTCACTAGTTGGTATCTGGAAGATTAACTTTCACATGTTGGTCTACAAGGACTTGACCGAATGACTAAAACGAACATTGTATCTACACATTGAGTTCTGTGAAATAAATCAGTAAAATCTTAAGCGATAAAGCAACATGGAGGAATTACTGCTATTATTCTCTTCACGTTTATCGAAGGAACGGTAGAGTCTCATCGCAAAAAGCACGAACGGCATACAAGTAAATCAAACCAATTGTACTTTAAACATGTCAGACAGAAATGCTAAGAGAAGCAAAGAAAGCGTACTGATGAAAGGGATGAACTTCAAAATTAGTAAAAAAGATCAAAACCTGAAGGCATTATACCTGTGATTGAAAGAGCACAAGGAGGACATGAGAAGCAAAAGGTGGAACCGATAGGCACACAATATGCATTAACCTTAAGAATTAAAAAGCAGAAAAACTAAATGTAACGAATACGGAAATAAAAGCACTTTAGGACATAAAAGCTGACAAATGCATTGTCATTACTCCACCAGACAAAGGAAACACAAGAGCAACACTCAGCAAAACAACATATACGGAAAAGATGAATGAACGTTTACAATCTGGACACTATACCGTAATGACGGAATCACCAGAAACTATCAGAAACAAAACAGTGAAAGAAACAGCAGAGGCAGTTAGACAGATGAAAGAAGTAATTGGTAAGTCAAAATGGTTTGAAATTATGCCTTAACCATATGATATGCTTAGGATATATGGCAAGATAAAATTGCATAAAGAAGGATATCCAATAGGACCGACTGCAGAGTTAAGAAAAGCATCAACTTGTATGCTGTCAAGATTTCTCTCAACAATACTAAAACCGACAGTAGACAACTCGAAAGCTAGAATAGTAGATTCATTTGAATTAGTGAGACGACTAAAATCCACCAAAAACAGAGGAAGAGGAAATACTAGTCAGCTTTGATTTAAACAGTCTTCATACTAAAATACCCATTCAAATGGTCATGAATGCACTGAAAATGAGACTTAAAGAAGATAATGGTCTAAAAGACAGAAGAGATAATACAGGGCGTGGAATTCTGTCTGACAACAACATAATTTACATATGAAGGGAAGACATACCAATGGGATGAAGGAATAGCCATTGGATCACCCATCTAACCAATGACAGGTGACATGTTCGTGGGTATTTGGGAAGAGAATACACTTAAATCATTCACGTCATCAATGTCAGTAATCATGAAAAAAACGATGTTGAGAAATTGTTCTAGCACATAAACAGTCATGTCGACTCAGTAAAATTCACTATGGAAATAAAGAATAAAATCGGAAAACTATTTCAGACTGCGAAGTACAAAGAATAACAGAGTGTACCGTGAAGACGACGCTATTTCGAAAAAGTGCACATTCTCGGAGATTCCTTGATTATCACTCAGCTCATCTACCCAAGGTAAAGCGAGAATTAATACAAGTTTTTGCAGAGAAAGACGTTGACATACATAAACATCAAACGACCAGCCTAGAGAAATAATCGTCTTATTCAAAATGCAACTCGACAACTACTACCCAAAGGACTTATCCAAGATAATATAACGAGGAGAAAAATGAGGGTGAAACCACAGAATAACTAGAAGGAGGAAGGTGAAAATCGATCACATTACCATACAAAATGGTGCATCAGAGGCACTTCGGAGAACCTCAAAATTATTGGGATCCACACAACGTTTTAACCGACAAATCTGATTAAAATGAGATAAATCAACTAGAAGTTTCCATAAAAATGATAGGTAAAAATAACTCAATATACAAACAGATATCTTGTGCCGAGTGTCTGGCTAAATATGGGGTGAAACAACCGGATCGCTAAGAACGAGAGTGAATGAACATTAACACCTAACTTAAGGTCATTCAACAGGAACACAAGCTTGCAACAATATAAAAGGAATTCACCTGTAGCTGTGCATGCATGAGGCAAAAACCACAATATCGATTGAAACAATGTGTGTTTTCTAAAAACTAATATGAACAAAATATTTCCAACAGTGGTGTGAACACGGGCAGTATCTTTGATCGAATTATTTCTAAAAACAAAAACATTATTCTGTATAAACCATTGAAATATGATAATACTTTTACTTTTTCAATTCCACAATGCTCAAACTTTTTACTGACAATAAAAGAATGAAAGACTTATAACAGAATCGATATTTATTAAGGTCAAACGGGATACATGTAACAAGGGTGACTCAGCACAACTGTCAACAACCTGAAATATAATTCTGAATACACAAAAATGAAGAAACGAAAAATAAACAATATGTATGAATACAAATTATAAATGTGTGAATTAAAAAAACCAACTCCAAAAGTTTAAGTGAATTTTAGATGTTACCGCCGATTGCACCAATTAGATTCCAAGAGTTGCTCTGAACACGGGTAGTAATTTTGCTCGAAATATTACTAAAAACAAAAACTTATTATTCTGTATAAACATGGAAATATGATTATACTTTTATTTGTTCGATTCCACAATGCTCAAAAGTTTTACTGATATTTAGTCCAATCAGCTCATCTCCACTGACCGGAAGCTATCAATCCCTAATCATTTGATAATATCTGCATCACACACAGTGGTGCAACTTACTGGTTCTCATGCAACTTTCTCCAGCAAACTTGGCAAGTGATGTCACTTATAGTCTCACTCAGCGCGTATTCAAGCATGTAATGCAAGTGGGTTGGTAGTGGATTCCAGACTGGTGATATTCATATGACATAAGAGAACAGGTACATATAAAATTGTTTTGTAAATTAATGAAACTCATCTTATTCCTATTACTGATAGTTACGTTTACTTCATTCCAATCGATTTTACAGGTGCTACTCATATCCATCGCATACTGTTGTGTTTTTCATAAATTCGTTGCTCTCAATATTTTTATAATTTTGAATGTGGCTCTAGCGCTAGCTGCTGCAGTCGTGTTAATCGCTGTCAATCTGAAACGCTTAGATTTAACAGCGTTTACGGCAGTCGTATTTCTTGCAGTGCTCATTACATTCATAGGACTTCTATCCATGCTTCTCTCCGTTCTGCGTGTCCCATTCTCTGTGAGTTCTTATTGTATTCTTTATGTGCTTGAATGAGCATTTTGTTAATGTCAGGTGAATATAACTGAGACTTTGTTGTCACACTAATGCCACGAGAATTTATTGAACCAAATCCACAAACGAAACAGTTGAGTTTGATGGAGCCGTCAAATTTTGTAATTTGACAATCGTTTTGTGCTTTATTGCTGTGTGGTGATTAGCATTCCATCTTCTCTAAGGAAAATTAAATGAGTGTGTGTAATACAGTTTATCAATTCGATAAGCGACTTGGTTTTTGGAAATTTCTATAAGACACAGTTACGCAATGATAAGGGTGCGCTAATTGTGAAGTTATTCCATTGTAGGTAGTTCATCATTTAACCGTATGCAAGACGTCGATTGTCAGCAGTAGATTGACCATCATGTTTGAACTGGTTAAACATAAGATGCTGTGAATTTGTTAGGATCATTTTAGGAATTAATCAGAGTGAATCAGTGATTTTCTATGCAATTTCATCATGATTCAGTCAAATCGGACGTTGTGAAAATAGAATGTTCTAATTTTGATTTCCGAAATACCCTGAGATTATTTTAAGTAATTTTCAGACACTGGTTTGCAAGAATTGAAAGGTTTCAAAATTAGTCAGATACTAATATCACTCAGAAAACCACTGAATACCAAGGAGTAGTAAGGAACTAATTCCCTCTTAACTGGTACTCTCCCATATTCGACTTCAGGTAGTGCCATACATGCAAGGCTCTAAACATTCCTAAACTAAGAAAAACATGATTAGGGCATTTCCTAGACCTAAGTGGTTCTCCAACTGGAGTCAGCTCTTGATCATCATCAAATTCAGTAAAATCCATAGAAACCAATAGTAGTGTTTATGGATCGTATATCTTCAATTTAGTCAATATTTTGTCTTTTCATTTTCAAATAATTCTAGGAAGCTGTGAGCGAACTGTGCCTCTGTTTCGGTGCAATGTTTGTGAGTTCAAGTGATGTTTTTACCTACTATCTATTTCATTAGTTGGTTTCTCGCCTCGAAAATCAAAATAAGTGACTCAGAGAAAACGTTTTCTCAGCAATTTTCTTATCAAGCTATTCAATATTATATCAGTTATGAATGAAATGAATAGTTAAACAACGAGTAACCACATGTGCCATGTATTTCATGATAAAGTTCATGGATTTTGTAAACTATAGAAAAGGGTTTGTAGTATTAATATGATTCGTAGCCAACAAATAAGTGGGGATCATAATGAGACAACACTGGAGATGATTACATAGAATTAAGTAAATAAAGTTAACAAGTGAGATAATAACGGAAATTACTCAGAATGAAAATAATGGTCACTATCAAAGTTATAAGGAGTGCATATACAAATGGAATAAAAAACAGAAAATAAATAGGCTATTTTAAGAATAAAGATTGTAATAGTTACTCATAGAATGATTCGGATCATGAAATAAGTTAGATGAGCACGGTTGTGAGACAGTGATAATAATTAAGTTGAGTATCGCATAGTCATTGACTCCACACTGTGAACAATACCGCAAGGACAGTTGTCTCAGTGAACACTAATACTTTGAAAACATTACAAGTGGGTTGTCATTAAAATTGAGATGGGAGCTAGGGTCCCAGAAATTTTGTTTACATGCACAAAACTACCTTGTTTACACCTATTTCTGCCATTTCATTGATTCATCGGGTACAGGTATTTACCATCAGCGGATAATATTTCCCCTTGAGCTTATTATGTCTTCAGACAGGGTGACGTTGTTTTTTCATATTAGTCAAGTCTCTTCAAACAAATTTAGTCACTTTAGAAGCATACGTATTAATACTCATCAATGATTTTGGATACGATAAAGAAAGGAAGACGAAATTTGCAGTATAAAATGATATTATTCTATTTCACAGGTTCTCATCAGCTGCAGACTACCTGAAATTACAATGGTTATATAAATGATAATAATATACTTTAATGTTTGATTAGTAGTAGAGAAGAGATAAAATTGACGCATCCAAAAAAGAATGAAAGCATTACAATTTTAGTTTAAGTTATCATCATCAATTTATACACTTTCAGAGTTGAAAAGAGGGGGGAGGGGTAAGACAGAAAACAGAAAAATTGATTAACAGAAACAGTGTTAGCTTGTAGGTTCACATGGCAACTCCAAAAAACAAAAGCATTTACAGTTTATAAGATTGAGATTTGCTCAGTGAGTTGAGATCACTGATGACTAATCAAAATCAAAATTCAGTTACCAAGGGAGTGAGAGGTTAATCACACTCTCTTTCTGTATGCATAAGTCTGGTTTAAATCGTTTGATTGCGATCGCTTCGGCAAATCGTATTAAATTTGCTGTCCTTTGTCTATTTAATATTTTGAAGGACTTAGAGATCTCTACGAGATGTCCGGTATCAACAATATGTCTGGTAATTGCACTCTGAGAATATTTGCTTCCTTTCAGGCATAGGTTTCTTGGAATATGTTCAGAAAACCGGATAGAAGCCCTTCTTTCTGTCCTTCCAATGTACTTGCTCCCACAAGTGCACGTAAATTCATAAACGCAGTTGGAGGTGACATCAGCAGGGTATTTATCCAGTTTTGAGTTGATCATGGAAGGAGTGGTGTTGTATACTGTTATGAGTTTTGCTGCCGGGAAGCTTCTATTTATTGCTCCTTTCAGTCTTCTGTCAATCTTTTGTGAAACTGCATCTCCTTTGAATGGGAGACAAATAAACACTTTTTTCTTTTCTACAGTTGGGTGCTTTTCTTTCTTATCTTTTTCTCTGCTGTACTTCTGTATAAAGCCTTTAGGATATCCGTTTTCCCTCAGGCATTTCTCGATGAAATCTAGTTCTTCTTCGACCTTGTTTGGTGAACATAGCTTCCTGGCTCTGTCGTACAAAGTCCTCACTAATCCACGTTTATAGCTTATGGGACAAAAGCTGTTATAGTGAAGATATTGTCCAGTCCAGGTTTCTTTTCTATAGATGGACTTTTCAATTATGCCTTCGTTTGTTCTTTTTACATTTAGATCCAGGAAATTGAACTCATTTTTATGTTCATATTCCATGGTGAACTTGATATTTGGATGAATCTCATTTAGGCGATCATATAATGCCGATGCGTGATCCATGTCGTTGCAAACAACAAATGTGTCATCAACATATCGGCGATAGTAGGTTGTTTCATTGATAGCAGAACTTAGTTGTGTCTGTTCAAGGTAGCCCATGAAGATATCAGCCAGGATAGGTCCCAGAGGTGAACCCATAGCGACCCCATAGCGATTTTGGATACGACATACGGAAAGACTTGTGCACTTAATCTCTGAAGAGAATTGAGATTAGTAGGAAACCTTGAAATTTAACACGTTTCTGTTTCTATGAGTTAATGAATTTAAAGTGTCAAGAGCTTACTAAACTCACCACTGGTATATGGAATGTTCAAGTAAAGCGAACATGCATCTTGTATTTTTAAATGGCTTCTAGCTGTAGCCTTGAAGTTTTGGTAGCAGTGGTTTCCATGTTTATGGGGTTGCTTTGCCAGCCCCATGCTCAACCTTCCTTCTTCACCAGTGTTAATACTGGCTTCGCGATGAATAGGAGTGCACCTGCCGGGGACTGAACATCGGACCACATGAGTGGTCGGTGACCATATTACCGCTGTCCAACCGACGCAAGCATCTTTTATTTTCAGTGCTAAAGAGGAAATGTCCCTTTGAAACATTAGCTAGATTCACAAACGCATCATCCATGTAGCCTCATTTATCGTGATATATGAAAAACTACTTAATGAGCCGTTTTAATGCAATTAATATAAATAATATTTACCATTGGAACAATTCGACTGAGTGGCGTTATTTCCGGAAATCAGCTTAAATACAAAGGTCTCACTCGTGATTTGCACATCAATTGAGTTTTTATCCTATGTCAGTCATTTAGATTGGGCTTAACAATAATGCTTTGCAATTTTTTCCTATTTACAGGGTTTATTTCTTCTTGGAAACACAGTACGCGGCTGTGTGGGTAATCCACATATATTCTGTTTTGCAATGACTCAAGCGTTCTTTTTCTGGATTTTCATTACTCTCTTATTCTCAGCTATTTACTTGTTGACATTACCTCCAAAAACTAATGCTGATGAAAACGATCAAGAAAAACCTGAGGTAACATTTTTTAAATGAATTTAAAGTGTTTTATTGATGTTTAAATATATATATCGCATATATAATATATGCGTTTGTTTGTGTTTTGAACTCACTGATTAGGAAAGATCCTATCTGCAGCAGTTGTCATGGTGTGGTGTTGAACTAGATCAGAATAATAATCAATTGAAAACAAAGATTATTATTGAGGTTATTGCGATTGAAATATTAGGAAGATTTTGGTCAGGCTCAATCCGTTTGCCATGAAAGATAAATTTGCCTGCAGTTTAGCTGCCAATGTAGAATGAATTGGAACTATTGCAGGATTTTGTTACAACCATAAAGAAGCTGTGCAGGTTACGTGTCTGTCCTGAAGAGAAATCGATGAAAATATTCTGGCTCCAAATGCCAGACATTTCATCTTGAAGTAGAGTGGTTCACATCCAGTGGCATGACAACTTGACACCCTTGAGTTTTTTTCTTTTGTTGTGAAATGAATCGGTTTAAATTAAAACAAAAAATACAGTTAAATGTGAGAAGTTAATTGGTGGATGGTGACTAGCAGTGGAATCGAGAATGCGCATTTCATCCTTTTTAGGACTTCCCATCTGGATGTATCTGCATTCCGCAGTGAGTGTTTATGTTCCCACCGAGATTCAAACTGAGTGCAAACCTGAGAACAAACACATCAGTTCAATCGATCGACAGGAAAATCTTAAATCCAATTCACAGTTAAATGTAATTTAAAAAGCCATCAACAATGATTGTCTACAACATTATGCCCATGCTTCTGGAAGCCGAACTTCACTGGGATCGATAAACATGAACAAGCTGTAAAAGGAATATTCTTCTTTATATTTTGTCTTAAATCATGGACAAGTACCAGCACAATTTCAACTCAGTTGCCGTGAAATCGCTAAGCGGAAGCTAGAAAAAGGTGAAAAGATTCTTTCGAACCACTTATGCAAAATAATATTCGCTCACTGGACATTTCAATGAAGACTGAAAATAAATAAACGATCAAGACGTTGGTGGACAGTATCTCCAGAATTTCCCTTAATGCTTCGCTTTTCAATGTAGCTTGATGATCAAATACGACTTATAAAGTAGCAGGATCAAGTCCACCAAGCAATTTTCATGTTTAAGTCTGCTTTACATATGGGAAATACGGATTCATTTGATAAAATACAGTTTTTGTAGTTTCATTCTCATACTTCATAGTTTGTTGTGCAATATTCAGTGAATATTCGTCACATATTCGTTCAACCCATTTTATAATAAAGTTAATTTTCCTTATTTGCAGTCTAATACAAGTGGACAAGTATACCACGTCAAGTAAAAATTTCAATTTTGGAAATCCATTCAGAAACGCTGAATGTCATACAAAAATACTACATTGCATGAATATATATAGTTACTGATATAACGTATATGTTAATTATTTCTATAAATGTAGATCCGCTATTAATAATGATGATATACATTTAATGAATTGAAACATATCGTGTTTGATTTTCCAAAAAATGCTGAAATTTGACAGTTTAATCCGCGTGTATTTATAAGGGCTTATTTGTTATATGTTGCTATTTCTGAAATATTGTGTTTGGTGCGATGATCTCATCAGTTATTTGATGAATAAACCTTGAGTACATGGAAATCAGTTTGTCTCTAGGTAAGAGCGATTCATAAGAGATTTGACTGACGTGTACTCATAGCATAGTGTAATGCTTCCGCCATACTCGCATTTGATGAGTTTAATCATACCAGTAGATATCGCCGCTAACTCTTTCCAACTTGACAAAATTGTATTCATGCACAAACATTGTGATTTGAATGTGATCATTTATTAGACAAAAATCACCATCAGACAGGTTATTTGATTTGAAGAATCAGACTGTTCACATAGAAATGTTAGTTGACTATTAGTATTGTGCTCACTTATGAAAAATGCCATAAAAAATGAACCTCTGAATCTAATCTACACATTATTATGTGGCATATTTAACAGTTGAATATCACCTTGGGTTTCGGGTGTATTTCAACCATTCCCCTTTAGTAACTGGCACCCGATGTATCCGGATATCAGTTGATGTCACTTTTGGTGGTCAGACGAATATAGTGTTTAGTCATCAACAGACACGTCAGGTTCAACTATGAAGTGACCTCATTTTGTGTACCATTCAAATTCAAGGAGTACTGAAAAGCTGCTTAGTACTTCTTTAGGAGTCGCCTTGCGCAACTAAAGAAAATTGAGCTGAAAGGCGCTTATCTTTCAGTTGTATCCTCATCAATGCTTTTGTTTAAATGAATTTATAATTTCTAATGGAATATGTAATTTATCAAAGAAAATATTGATAAGTTCCGTAATTATAATTAGTCAAGTTAGCAAATCAAAAGCAAGGGAATTGAAGAGGGGAATTATTGGAAGGCATGCTGTGAATGTTTCTGAAAAGCGAAACAGGTGATTGGATAAGAGATGGTGTATATGCTGAAGAATAGTTGATTGCTCAAAATCCTGAACTTGATTACATTGGGAAAAATGAAAGGTGAAGTAACCAGAATAATAAGTGACTCGTGATAAAAATTGTGAACAGACAAAGATGGTCACGTTTTATATTAGAAGTACAGTGAACATTTAGCAATGACTGTTTCAAACACATTCCTCTAGCTTGTTCTGTATGCTGAGTACCCACTCTGGCACTGAGGTATAGTATAATACCATTATGGATAAAATGTATTGTAATAAAGTCGCACATTGTTATGCAGTAATATTGACTGATTCGGGCACAATTTATTGCTCATAATCATATCAAGGTACTCACATGTCTGTCTCGCTTCGTTTATTTGAATAAGTAAATATTGATTAGTTATATGAATACAATCATCATAAGACATATGTGAAACAGAGAGGAAGATGAAGTACATTCGGGAACACTTAAAGTGTTATCGACCAATATGATTTGATGAGAATTGAGACGAGTATTTCTGGTCAATCTACCATGGAAGATGAAGCACATTCGGAAGTAATATTAGTGTAATTATTAAAACATGATGGAGCGAGAAATACTGTGTTTTCAATCAAACAGATGGGAAATAAGATGTTTTTATAGCAAAATCAATAAACTTGCTTGAATGTCATCTTCTATGGTAGATTGACTAAAATTACTTCTCTCAATTCTTAACAAATCACATTTAAGTTGATAACAATTTTAGTGTTACTGGATGTACTTGACCTTCCTTTCTGTTTCACACCTGCCTTATATTGATTTTGTTCATATGTCTAATCGATTTCAACTCATGTATATAAACGAAGCAAGACGGTTGTATGAGTACCTTGATATGAATATACACAGTAAATTGTGCTCTATTTGAGCTATGCTACTGAATAACATGAATCTTGAAGTACGGAAATTGCTGCGGCCTGATTCCACGTTTTCGATGTACCCTGTAAGTCACTGTGCAAGTCTAAGTAGCTCAGTGTAGATTGCGTGTCTCATAAGTGTGATTAACTTTTCAACTCTGAAAATGAGGTTTGAAATGTTATCCTACATCAAATGTAGCCCCGTAATGTATTCAAAACGCAGAACAACGCAATTTTGATGCAACAAGACGAATTATCGGTACTATGCAGAGCCAAAAATCTTGTGTAAGCATCATGAATTTGTTCACTGCGAATTCTGCATCTTACTCGTTCCTAACCATGCAATATGGGTTGAGGAAACGATGAGATAATTTCAGAAGGTTTCAAGGTTTTTGGTAGTCATCAAGTAGTATTGTCGTGACGTTTTCGTATAATACTCGATACATCATCCTAAAACGTTTGTCGTTTACCATCAGATAGTTCATATTAAGTATGGGTTCTTTGTGAGATGTCTCGTTCAAATTCGAGTTGACATTAGAGGATATTTTGGATTAAGGCAAATGTGATTTCAGCGGAGATGCCTCCAATACCGTTTTGGACACTCATGCTTGTCGGTGCATCGCTTCAGAACATTAGGCTCCGTGTTAACTTCAGCAAGCTTGACTGTACCAAGGTCTTTTGAGTTCTCCAATGAAGGAAATATTCCTAAACTGAATCATACGAAAATGACATAAACAGCGAAGAAAAGTTTCTTTTCGACGATTTGAAACACTATTGTTTTCGGCACAGCTGAATTCGTGTATTTATTCATTAGTTTCATCTGATACATGCTTCTGCTGAGCAGTTCGCCACTAATACTTATTTATTTCTTGTTTCAAATGTCCTGGAAATTACTCTACACGTTAAACGTAATAACTAAATTTCATTTAGATTGTTGAAACTACACGGAAACTGTAAATGAATACGGATTTGATGATAGTTGGATGTGATAAAGGCTCATGATCACTTGTCGCGGATAGTTCACATCACTTAAGCAAAATGATGTCATTACTTAAAACAAAGTTACTAGGTGGAGAATAACACAGGTTTAAACTAGGCTATTCTAGCTTTGCCAACTTCTTAAATTGTGTAGTAATTTAGAAGGCAGTGAAATCGAACGAGACACGTTTCAGTTCTTTTCGCAAGGAACAGTCCACTAGATGAATCTCAAAATACACGGTCAAAACTGCTTTGTCCAGAATTTAGTTTCTCGCACTGGAATAAGAGCCACTTTAGATCTCTACTTGCAGCATTTCATGTCATTAGATGATAAGTGCCATCCAAAAGTGATGACTTCTGATTCGTCATGGAATGTTCATGCATGCGACTAGTTATATAATTTGACAAACCAGTTTCAATATTTTCTTCTCCGGTATGCTTTGTGGAAGTTGTAGTGAAGTTGTTCGTACAATATACAAAATGAATCATCTTACTGTTCTTGATGAAAAATGAATTTAGGTAACATTCTCTTATTTATTTGCAGAGGACTTCAGTTATACTTTCTGAAATAATCATCACTTTCGCTATATCTGTAGTATGTCAGATGGTTAATCTTGTGAATATTCTTCATTCCTAATAATCAGCAGTTTTGATGTGTGCAGTTTTCATCACATTACTTCGTCCCCACTGGATGTTCTCAAATTTATGTTTATATTGTATGCGGTAAATGTTTGTACAGATTTACAGGGGACATTTCAGTTTCATTTATTATCTGACAGAAAAATGAATTGAAAAAACGCGGGATATCTATTTGAACTAAAAATCATCCCAAAAATTTGTACTGTGATTTTCAGTGTCCCTCGAATTCGTTCATCTAATAAAGGTTATATTTAAATGGGCAATGCCTACGACATTGCAGGAAAGAGGCAGCGAAAAGTGGTCGACAATTGTGGCTGTCTCCGATTACTTGAACGATGGTGATACGAATATACGTTTCCATATCTGTAATGAGCGAAGTTTCTCGTAATCTTCTCCAATGTAAGAAGATTTTAACAATGTGTAGTCTGCGTGAAATTGGGATGTGTCTAATGCACAAACCATTCAATTCTTCGATAGTTAGGTGCCAACCTTTTAATTCTAGGAAATGAAACAATTACGGCTATTTTAATGTTTGTTGACCTTGATTAAGGCGGTAGCACTTTACATCAGGTTCTGTTGAAGCAAACGTTTGTGGTGCTCTGATGTTTTTCTATAGTTAGACGACCACTTGTCAGCGTTCTCCTCATGTATTTCGAAGTTATCCTCAGTGAATTAATCGTTGCTACACTACGCGTTTTTGGATTCGTTGCAGGTGTGCTATGCAATAAAACTTAGTAGAATATGTGCTTAATTGTTTCGAACACTAATCTCCATTGATCATCGTCATGGAAAATGACGTTAGACTGAATAACACTGACACTTTCAACTCATGATTGGTGAATGCGACCACAGGGTCGTCTTTGAATTTCGGTTGATTCAAAAACGCTGAGAACTGCCTATCTACAAATCAGAAATATGTTTGATATATGAAGGCTGTTATTTCAGTTTTGTCTACTGTTGATGTAAAGTGCTATATTTGGTTGTGTTAATTAGGCGATATTTGTGTCAAAACTACACTTTCATTCATCAAATGTAACGGTTGGGTTTACAGTTTACTTCAATTACGGGATAAATTTAACCGAACTCTAGATCCGATTTCAAGGATGAGCGCTATAGTATATTTGGAACTATCTGATATACTCATTCCACTGTAGGAAAGGGGAAGTGGATAGGAATATTTGTTTGGATCTCCAAAGAGATGTTCCGTCTAAGCTACTACATAAAGAAACCGTCACTATCTGGCATCACTCAATCTCTGCTTTTACTATTTGTTTACTCGCGTATCTTACCTATTGTAGTCAAAACGTGTGAACTAACATCTCAGTGTTTTCAAAAAAAATAATTCTCAAAACACTTATGACAAATAGATTTTGTTTTGAGTGTTATTTTTAATGAGAAAATAGAAGGACTTTGCTCAACTCTAATCACAATAATTAGTGAAATATTGTAACTGTTTTCAGGCGATGAAAATAAAAATGTTTAGTCTTTTTTACTATCCACTTATTCATGAATCTACTGAGGTTTCACACTCTGAATGAATTTGAACTGTGTACTCTAAAACTGTACAAATTTTTATCAGTAAATGTTG